TCAACAACAACAACAACAACATCAATTTTTATAACAAATCTTCTTGTTTTTAATCTTTTCTTGCACAATTGGATTCCACCACCAACTATTTTTACTATTAGAAGCTTTTCCCTTTGATACTCCAAGCACATCTTTTGCAAAGAAAAGGAATGTTTGTCTCGCAATAGAAATAAACCTTGGGCTTACTAAAGGAAACTAGTATGCTTGGATATAAATCAGCAAACACTTCTATGGATCCAATAAATAAAATTGAGACTAAGGAATTTAACTCGTAATTGACTAAGGAAGATACCAACGGTTAGTAGGGAAACATATTTATCTATCTTATATAAGACATGATATTTATTTTTCTGTTAATATTATTTTTTGAATTAACCCACAAGGGAGTACCTTGATACAATATATGGGATATTATCTCAAAAAGGCACTTGAAAAAGGGTTATTTTTCAAAAAATTGGATTGAAGTAAGTATTAAAATCTTTTTCGATGCTGACTTGGTTGTATCAATAACAAATTGAAAATCCACTTCTGATTATTGTTCATTTATGCGGGATGTTTAGCATTTGGAGAAACAAGAAGCAGTCTGTGGCTGCTTAAAGCAAATGCTCAAGTAGAATTCATGGCCATGATCCATGAGATTTCTGAAGTTATGTGGTTTAAACGTCTTTGCAAGTTATTATATTTATTTAATTGAATATTATTCTAGAAAGATGTAATTATTTTTTTTTGAAACACATGGATGAAGCATTTTGGAAATTCAAGGAATGAAAATAATTTGTTGAAACTCAAATTTGCTTGATAGTAAATAAGCTGAGGATTAACAATGAGCTTGAATTTTGTGCTGATGAATTAACTAAATTTGCAAAGTTTATGTGATATCAAAACATTATATATCAAGAATGGTTCAACTATATAATTGTTGGCACAGAGGTTCAAGAGGACAATTCTTGAAAGATAAGTTGTATGCTAAGTATTGTAGGGTTGTCTTAGACTGAATTGATTAGCATTAGTCTACTTCATCATTAATTGCCCATCCTAAACTATTGGTTTAAGAACTGCTGTAGAAGCTCGGAGTGGAAGACTAATTAATTAATCCATAATGTAGAGCTTCTGTTGAAATCAAGAAAGACAAGCTTGAGCCATGTGCAGTGAAATGTATTTTTATGGACTACCCTGAGGAGTAAAGGGTATAAGTTATAATGCTTTGAGCCAAGATTTATAAAGCATGATCAATAGGGAAGTTGTGTTCAATGAACATCAAGTTGCTAAAATTATTTCATCAAATAATGCTCATAACAAACTAATTGATGCTAAAGAGGCAATGGAGCTTGAGGTGGAGCAACCAAGCAAAGAGAATTATGATGTCCAAAATCAAGAGTTGGCCGAATCACATTCTAAAGAACTTGAACAACAAACTATTGAACAAAAGCAAAGAACTTATGGCTGGGCAAGAGATAGACCTCGACATCAATTAAAAAACCACAAAGGTATAGACATGTTGATCGAATAGCTGTGCTTTTTTACAAATTTGATGGATTAAGATGAGTCAAAATCCTACAAAGAAGCCATGAAGAGTGATGAAAAAGTCCATGGCAACAAGCTATGCAAGAAGTAATGTTGTCATCAAAGCAAAAAAAATTCTCGGGGATTGGTGGACACAACAAAATTCTAAAAAGTAATTAGTTGCAAGTGGTTACTGAGAAAGGAGAAATGTTGTGCTAAATCTATAGATTCAAAGCAAGACTAGTTCTAAGAAGCTTTTCATAAGATGTGGACTAAAATAAAGCATTCTCTCCAGTTGTAAGGCACACATTTATCAGTATCTTGCTTGCCATAACTTATAAGTGCTCAATTCGAAAAGAAGCTGGAGCAAATAGATGGGAATTGATGAGCACACCGAAGTGCTAAAAAAATAATTAGTTGCAAATGGCTGTTGAGAAATGAGGAATGTTGTAGTAAATCTAGAGGAGTTAGATTCAAAGCTAGATTAGTTCTAAGACGCTTTTCATAATGTGTGGACTACAATAAAATATTCTTGTAAGTTGTGAGGCACATATTGATCAGGATCTTGCTTGCCATAAGTGCTCAACTCAAAATGAAGCTTGAGCATATAGATGTGAAGATGACATTTTTTCATGGACAATTGAAAGAACTATATATATGAAGCAACTCGATGGTTTTTTGAAATGAGAGTTGAAAATCAGGCACATTCTCTCAAAATATTATTGCATGAGCTTAAGTAATCATCCAGAATACAGAATATTACGCTTTATGATTACATGTTGAAGATTAGTTTTAAAAGAAGTGATTATAATTCATGCATTTATTATAAAAATAATGTAGTTTTAAAAATAGTTTTTCTCCTTTTGTATGTCATTTATATGTTTATTTCCCGGTGAAAGCATGGTGAAAATATCAAAAGATAAAAGAATACTTCAGGCCAAGGTTTAAATGAAAGATTAGGTCCTACAAAAAGATTCTTGAAATAGAGGTTAATAGAACCAAATTTGCCATCAAGATATGAAGCTAAGCAAGCATTAGTTGCCATCAAATTATGATGAGATGTACATGTTGCGGGCATCTTATTAAAATGCAATTAAAAGCATTATGTATGCGTGGTTTGCAAAAAAACTCAATTTGGCTCATGATCTGACTGGGGTTAGCAAGTATATTGCTGATCTAGGCAGGAATCATTTAAAGGCAGTGATATAGTTTCTAAGGTATTTTAATGGAACATATGAATTGGGCTTGAGATATGCATGTGCAACTCTAGATGAAGAGATAGTTGAAGGGTATGTAGATTCTTATTTTGCTTTAAACGTGGGCACTATAAATCATTGTTGGTTTTGTATTTTATGTCTTTGAAAATACAGTTAGTGGAAAATTTTGTCTGCAGTTTCAAGTTTGTGGTAGCTCTATCTAGCATTGAATCAGAATATATAGCTGTGTCTGAAGTTGGGAAGAAGGCCCTATGGATAAAAGGGTTGATGTCTGAGCTACTCAATGAAAATATTTTATATTTAATGCTTATTTGCTATGACAATCTAGGTGCTGTATGCTTGTCCAAAAATCATGTTAATCATGAATGAGCAAAGCATGCAGACGTAGACTTTCATTTCATCAGGGATGTGGTGATCAAAGAATTGGTGAAGATCATAAAGATTTCAATTGATCATAATTTTGTGGGCAAGCTAACAAAGACATTGCCTACTATCAAATTTGACTTATGTTTGAAGATGTTAACTGTGGCTCTATGTTGAGTAAATTTGATATATTATCAAGGTAGAGATTGTTGATATGTTTTTATATCTCGTTATGAGTGTTTGCTTGTTTGTAACTAACCCAATTTATTTCTCTTTTGACTGCTATAAATTAGTTAAGTTTCTTGCATTATATAGCATTTCTGAAGCCTTGGATATGGATTCTATAAGATCTCTAAGATATCATGTTTGTAAACACACTATTTTGAATTCAAATCCTACAAAATTTCCTCTTTGCTTTCTTTCCCTCTCCCACTTTTCCTCTTATGTTTCCCATGGCTCGGGGAGAAAGCCTACAGTAGTTTTGCTGTTGTCCGTCTGTCCGTTTTCTCTTGTGGCTGCTGTCCTTCCTGATTCTATTTCTGCTGCATTGGATGAAGGAGGCTGAAGACCTGCTGCAGGTTTCAGATCACCTGTTGCTGTCCAAAACTGTGGAGGAATGAACCGCTAAAGAAGGCTGGAAACAAGTTGTCTAGAACTGCAGGAAAACTGATTTCAGTGGAGGAAGGTATTGTAAAGATTGGAGTAGTGTGTTTCAAGAACCTGAATCTTGAGAAAGAACAAGGCTAATTTAAGTGGAGAAATGTTGATTTTAGCGAGGATTTCAATCAAGAAGTGCTATTTGGAGTGTGATTCATGTTGAATGGTTTCTAACTTTCTTGGGAATGTTTACTTGAAAATATTTAGAGCGGTAGATTATAACTCAATGAAGTCTTTGAAACAGTTCTCTTGTGAGTTCTGATATCTTAAGTTCAAATGCTAGAACTTGCACTTGCGTTATTTGTTCGATCTCTGAATTCAACTTGTAATGTGGGATTGCGTATTAACCCTTAGCTTGATGCATTTGTAAGTTAAAAAACATGCATTACTTTAATGACCACTTTAATAAGTGCAGGGTTTTTGATGTAAAATATAGTTTTATCCGTTATCTTCTTACATGGTTGAGAGGGATTTAATTTCTTATTTCCAGGTTGATTACCTTTTGCTTCTGTGATATTTTGGGAAACCATTCATTTATCTATTTCTCTCGAGAAAGGTGTCCTATAAGATAGATGCATGCATTTTTTATTATTCTGTTTCCATCATTAGCGTCAGTGATGTTCAAACAAACATATGGTTCTGCTAAATCACATAGTTTTGAAACGTATAGTACAAACATGAAGCATATTCCAACTCTAATGTGAAATGGAAGACAACGCCCCATTTTAGAAAGTCAGTTGCCAAATGATTTCTCGCTATTATAAATTTGCGAAGGAAATTGCTAGTTTGCCACTTACGTGGCCGATTATGCCTTATTCTGTGATGATGAAATATTTTTTTACCTGGTTAATATGATTAATAATAGATTTTCTTATATTTAAGTTGCGTTTTCTTAATTTCCTTAATATGTCATGTCATTTTGCAGTTGTTGCTCCTGTAGCTTTCAAATTTGATTCATTTGCCATGTATTCTGTAGTACTCACTTGGCTTGTATTTGTAGCTGTTTTAGTTCTCTTATGATGTTTTCATTTTAGCCAACTATTTTTTGGAATTATGTGGTTTAAGTACTGCATTTTTTAAAAGATTCATTTTTTTTTCTGGTTTTATTTTCACGACAAAGCTACTGTCTTCTGCTTTGACCATTGATTAAAAATAATAACTACAAAAGGTAGCCTTAGTTGTTTCCATCTTTGCAAATCAAATTAACCTTTTTGAATGATGTCTGATAGGGACGTGTTTTACTGTTGTCCTATATGCCAGGTTCAGGAATAGATATTCTTTCTTGTATGAGGTTGAGCTTCCTGCAGAGAAAGCGGTGAATGTCATTCTTTACATAGACCTTCTTGGCTGACTTGTTGTAGTGATTTTCTTGCTAATTTTTTTTTATTCTAACGTTAATTTTTTACTGAAAGCATGCAGAAACTTCAGAAATTGATTAAGAAATCCAAGGACCCAAATATCATTGAAGATTTGAAAAATCACATCTCTTGGATTGTAAGTACTATATATATCCCGGCTTCCACAACCTCCAACCCAATCCACATTCAGATACATGCACTTGAATCATATACTAGAAATTAATCATTTCTTCACAAGAAAACGTTTAGTTTGTCTTGTGCTATTTGTGAAGACTATTATTATGAATTTAAATGGCCTAAACAAGAAAAGTATCATGGATTCATTCCTCTCGGAAATTAGTGAACAGTTTGTTTGATACTCAATTTCCTTCATGAAAAAAATCTAGCTTTCCTTAAACTTTTGATTGAAAATCTACATTGTGAATTCCTTGGTCACAAATCTAAATTTCCTGCTCTTCATGAACTTTGCCAGCACTTTGGTCATTTCTTTTTTTATTTATGGGGTTTACATGCTAGTGACTTAGCTGTTGATCTTGTTGCTTAAATGGTGAAGTTTTTTCACTTATAGATTTGCAATCAACAAAAGCTTAATTATTTTAGGCTATGGAATAATTTAATATGGTGAGACAAATTTATTTAGTTTCTTGCATTCTTTTTGCTCGCTTCTATTATGTGAGTGCTTTCTCTTATGAATATTTTTCTTGCAATTTAAAATAATGCAGATCAAAAATTTTTTTGTTGATTTCTAGTTGTCCTAGCAAACATAATTTGAAACATGTAATCTAGTAGTGCTTTGGTACTACCACATTTAGAATCATAATGCTTCTCAGAGTCTTTGCAACTAACGGTCTATTTGGGACGTCTTCTCATTGCTTTGGTTTTTCATATTGCAATCATATTTTTGTTTGACTTCTGCTTTCTTGCTCCTTTCTTATTATTTAGAGTTATGTAGCATAGGTCGCGGTGTGACACTAATGTTTCTCAAAATCAATTTGGATTCATGCCAGGTAGGTTTACTATGGAAGCTATACATTTATTGAGAGGTTTGATGGAGAAGTATAGAGAGAATAAGGAGGATCTACATATGATTTTTTATTGATTTAGAGAAAGCATATGATAATTTCCAAGAGAATTGCTATGTAGAGTTCTACATAAGAAAGGGGTTAATAATACTTATATTCATGTCATTAAGGATATATATGTAGGAGTTGTTACTTGTGTTCAAACACATGATGGTTTGACCAATTATTTTCCTATTTCAGTTGGATTACATCAATTACAAGCCTTAAGCTCATATCTTTTTGCTTTAGTGATGGATGTTCTCACTAGACATTTGCAAGAGGTTGTACCCTGGTGTATGCTTTTTGATGATGATATTCTTCTTGTTGATAAGACTAGAGAGAGAGTTGAAGGTAAACTTGAATTATGGATGTCAACTTTGTAGTCTAAAGGTTTTCGTTTGAGTAGATCTAAAACTAAATATATGGAGTGTAATTTTAGTAATAATAGATCTAATGGGGAGATTGTGACTTTGGGCGATCAAGTCATTAGTAAAAGTACATGTTTTAGATATATTGGGTCTATTGTTCAGAGTGATGGTGAAATAGATGGGGATATTTGTAAAACCCGCAAAACGTCGTTTTAGACCTCGCACGCTTTTCAAAGCGTCGCGACGAGTTTTAAGTGGAAAATTCGAGGATGTCGGATTTCGATGGAAATAATTTTGAAAAATTCTACGCAAAATTCTAAGAAATTTGATGTAAAGGACTTATATTTAATTTTGTTTAATTTAGGAATTAAAATTAAGAGAAGTCTCATAATGCCAATTCTACCC